GGCAGGAGGTGAGCACAGCAATTACTTACTCTACCATATTGACTAGAAACCTCCAAAAATTATATGATTATCTTCACAGATGCTTTTCATTTAAAGGAAGCACTTTACAACTTCTCTTTGGCATACCTGAATTGCCGGTATTACTCTCTTGTGCATTGGGGCCATTATTAAGTAAAATAAGAGTTACCTGAATGTTAGCATTTCAGTACCACCAGTCATTCTGATAACCCAGACAGCTCCTAAGTGACTAACCTGATTTATGATTTTACAGTCTCACTCTAGCTACTATGTAGAAGATGAACTGTCCATCAAGAAGGAAGGGAGGAAGCTAGTAAGTCATTGGAGTCCAGATAAGAGATGCTAGTAGCTTTGACTAAGTTTGTGGCAATGTGAATTATAAAAGATCAGATTTGGGATTTATTTTTGAAGCCAATAGGCCACATTAATGGCCTGGCAACACATGGAATGGAAGGGAGAAAACAAGAATGACATCTGCTTTTGGGGCCTAAGCAACCACATGGTTGGTGATACAAATTGAGATGGGAAAGGTTGATGGTAAGGGAAATGAAGGGTGAGAAGATACAGATTAGTAGCTAATATTAGTTAGAATACAGGTTAATTTGCTAGAACAGACTGCAGTGGTGCAATCCAGATAGACAACTCTCTTTCATGTCACAGTTCAAGAATATAAACAGTCTAGGGCTGAAATGCTTGCTTCAGATATTCATAACTTAGACTATCTTGTTGCTCCACTGACCCCTAGAAGAGTGCTGCTCAAACTGTTTGTCTTTGGACCACCCAATGTTCTCTGCATGTTCGAAGATAGTTCACTACAACACCCATTAAGTCAGTGTTATAGCCAGAGGGGTAAAGGAAAGGAAACATTTGAGGGCTTGCCTCTTTATGTAAGAGTTTATCCTGGAAGTTGTACATATCCCTTCCATTCATATCCCCTTAGCCAGAACTGTGCCATAGGACGATACCTAAAGGAAGCTAGACAATGTAGGCTTCATTCTGGGAAATATCCTCCCAGCTAAAATATTACTAAATAGAATTAGGGGTCAGCTGCAGTCACTGTCACAGAAGAAAAATAATACTTCAGTGTTGGCTATGATTTTGAGATGCCTACTAGACATCCAAGTGGAGCTCTTGAGTAGGTAATTGAATAGATATGTAGGGAACTAAGATTCCATCATAAAGGGAGATATAAATTTAAAGCAAACAATATAGATAGTATTTGAATCTTTGGGACTGGATAAGATCATTTAAAGAGACAGTAAAGACAAAAAAGAGAAGAAAACCCAGGAATAGGACCTGGGGTACTGCAATAGTTAGACCTCTGGTTGAGAGAGAGGAAACAACAGAGTAGACTGAGAAAGGAAAATCCAGTGAACGAAGAAAACCAGGTGACAGCTCAGTGGGGTCAAATTGTACTGATAAACTAGGGACAGAGAAATGAACATTTTGGCAGAAAGGATTCACTGGTGAACTTGATAAAATATATTTTGGTGGAGTGATGTGGAAGAAAACTCAGCTGGAGTAGTTAAAGTAGGGTAAAGAAGGAGGGCCAAAGTATAAGCAACTCTTTAGAGGAATTTTACAGTGAACGGGAACAGAAAAATGGGCCAGTAACTTGAGTGGGATATGGGTCTAGGGTAAGAGGGAGTGGTTCTTATTGTTGTTATTTTATTGAGGTAGAAGATAAGAGTATCTACAGAATTATCAGGAGATACCCATAGAACCCCCTCCATTTCCCCATAGTGATATTACCCCTTTGTTGGTGTCAGCAGCACTATCATTTTGTTTGAGAGGAAGACCCACTGAGATCTACGTGTTTTTGCCAAGGTTCCCTCAAGCTTACCTTTCTACTATCTTCCTACACTCATGGCCTTGCTGTAATAACTGGCCTTAGAGACTATTGCGATTAATCCTATCATGTCCTATACCCATTTATTATCAGCATCCACTAGAAATCCAAGACTCCCAGGTTATTGCTCAACCATCTGCTTAAGCTGATTCAATCTCTCACCCTTCCTCATGTCCTGAACTTCCTAAACTCAAGGAATACTATCATCAGCAAAAGCACAATCTTCAATCTTTTCTCTGCATACCCACTCATTTCGCCAAAACCTGGCATCTTCTTAAGAGCACTGACTTTCCCATTGCCCTCTCAAATGGGAGCTGTTTTTTCCAGACCCTATAACCAAAGAATGTCAATACAGAGTGAGCTTTTCCCCAGTTTCTCATTTTGGCTGCCAGGCTATCCCTCTGTCCTCCCTTAAATTCTCCAACTCTTTGAATGCTCATGCTGACAGAGTATTCCACGATACCCTATTTTTTGCAGTCATTCATAGACATCTAGATTAATCCTCATTTCTTGAAGATTTTAGCACTGGACTTTCTGCCAGTTTTTTCAGCACTCTTCCTATCATGATTCTTGGTGATATCAGTATCCATGTAGATAATCTTTACAATACTCAGTCCCCTGACATCTCCTTCAATGATCTTATTTTCCACACAACTGCAGACATCCACTCCCATTGGCCTATCCTAGACCTATAGTTTCTACCTTTATTGCTTGTATATTCCTAAAAAAATTCTGAAAAACTATATACTGTCTTGTACCTTTTTTCCTTTTAAGAACTGCAATGCAAAGAATCTTAATGCTCTCCGTTAACAAAGGTTCATATGTGTCTCTCCCACTTCAATAACTTGCTCAACTAACTATACTGTTGGTGTCATTTAATTTCCTTTAGAAGCTCAATTATCACAACTTGAGGAAGCATCCTGACCTATTATGTTAAATACTCCTATTGTATACTTTTATAAGACTATGTATCTCCCCTTAATAAAGTCGTAATTTTACATTTGTCTGTGTGATTGATGTTTCCCCATAGAGTAAAATTTACAAAGGAAGGGAATGTGATTTTCTTAACTCACAATTATATTCCTAGTGACTAGCACAATCCTATCATGTAGTAAACACTTGGAGGAAATACTGAATGAATAAATGAATGAATAGTTTTAAACTGTAAAAGGAACCTGTTTATAAATTGAAATCCTACATGAAAATTGACTTTTTTGAATTGGAGAAGGGAGGCAGATGTAGGAGGCCCAGAGCCCTGCCTGTTTCAACCTCCTACTCATTCTCTTCCCAAGAAACCTAGAGCTCCATGAAATGGAATTTGAAAATAATTGACCTACATCAAGAAGTTCTTAAACTTTTTGTTCTCAAGACTCCTTTACACAGTTAAAATATAAAGACTCCAAAAAGTTTTTTCATGTTGATTATACCTATTGGTATAATATTAGAAATGAAAACGGATAAAGTATGAAAAATACATCAGTTCCTTTAGAGTGGCTAATAAGTCTATTACATGTTAACATAGTGTATTTTAATAAAAATCACTATAATTCCAAATAAAAAATCAGAAGATTGTATTGTTTGACATTTTTGTAAATCTGTAATATCTGAATTCATTGTTACAATGTCATATGTCAAAGAGCCTCTGGAAAATTCCACTGTATGCTTAATGACAGAATGAATAAAGCAAGTAACAGTAGTTTTATCAGCACATTTTGAGAACTACTGTAATAGATCCAAAGGTCCATTCTAGCTAGTATTGATATTCTTATTTAATTTGAGATGTTTTGAAGATTGAGTATTACCAAAATACTAACAAAGAATGTGAAGTGAATAATAGGCAGAAAAATGTTGAATTAAAAAAAAGGGAAGACTAATAGAAGAGTGGTTTTTATTAGAAAGCCAATTTTAATAGGTAACAAATCCATGTATAGCCAAGTTCAAAAAGATACCTCTATTGTAGTATGTCACATGCATTGCAATTACTTGTTCATTCATTTTGCGTCTTTGGTCTCTAGGAGAATGTCTAACACTAAATATTTGATGGATGAATTTAACCGCCTACATACCCTATCACACTTTCTATAAATCACAGCAAACTATTTAATAAACATTCAGCAGCTTTTTAGAAGTCATGATCCTATCAAGAAAACCATCATCATCTATGTGGTATTTTATTGTCTTTATAAACTCCCAATCACTTTCCTCATGACGCATTTAAAAATGGTCATTGACTTCAAGTAGATTATGTCATCTGACGTAATTCTTAATGAGGGAAACCAAAAGTCGTGACTTTTTTTCTTCTTAGATTTGAGGTTTAAGATGAACTTCAAGTAGGAAAACAGGAACGAACTGCTCTCCATATTAAAAGTGGGCATTTGTTAATTTTACCCTCCCTCATATACAGCACTTACATGCTGCATACTTTGCTAAATATCATGCACGGGCATCTCAGATCCCTAATTTGGCAGGAGTAATATCTCCGGAAAGTATCTCTGGAGGGCGTGGATGTCCTGCTTCTCCTCCCAGGGATCAGGGCGGGGGCACTAACTGGTCCAGTCATGCATGACCGGACTGAGCATTCGCCGGACGTGAGGAACCTCCTTTCCAGAAGCGGCGAGTCGCAAGGGATCTGACTAAAACTTAGGCCGTGGGCCTGCAGGGTGCGGCTGTCCCCAGGGCCCTGAAGGGTGTGGGAGGGGAGTAGGCCGCCGGCCGGGTCTAACCCGCCAGGTCTATTGGGCCTAAGCAAATGCCAGACCTCCAGGCTGCTGGAGAGACCGAAAAAGAGGGACGCGACATTCCGGTCACCTCAGGCCTCAGCCGGACTCGTATCCCCACACTCCGAGTATGGCTGGCCTGGCGCGCACGCGGCACCACCTCAGCGCCGACCGTCAGCCAGGACCGAGACACAGGAGGGAAACGGGTCCAGAAAACACGACTGCCTCTGATTGTCGTGTACCACGAGCCTGGGCCGCAGTCCAGCAGCGAAAGTTAACCCGCTACTCACGCAGCTCCGCCCAGCGCCGCTCGCGGCAGACGCGGAGCCGCTGATTTGGCCGGAGCGGATTCGCCCAGGCTCGGCCAGGGGCGGGGCAGGTTTCCCGCTCCCAGCTCTCCGACCTTGTAGGAAATAGGGCCTACTGTGGCGGGAGGAGGGGCAGGGTTTCGACGGAGGGAAGAGTCTGGGAAGGTCTGGTTAGGGAGGAATGAAGCCTCCGCCCTCCTGTGCAGAAGCCTTTAAATACGGGCCCGGGCCCGGGACTCGGGGTGAGGTAAGAGGAGATCTGGCGGATCGCAGGAGTGCGGCCCAGAGGGAGGAGCTGTCCAGGCGGTCCGGATAGGAGCAGAAGCCGCGCTCGGTGCTTGGTAATGGGCCTTTCCCCCGCTGGCCCCGCCGCGAGGTCGGGATATTGAGGGGTTCCGTCAGCATGTGGAGGGAGCGCAGCCGAGGTGTGCGCGCTGCTCGGGGTAGCTTCCTGTGCTTGGTCCCGGGCTTCCCATCTCACGACCCTCACCTCCTCTTTTGGACTCTGAGCGGGAATCGCCCTTTGGATCTTTTACCCTGGGGATGGGATAGGTTGGGCTTTATGTTCAAGACTCTCGAGTCTTCCAGCCGCATCTCTTTCTGCTTTTTTCCACTTTCTGACTTAAGTGAGATTTTCCCGGCGCCTCAGAAAGCCGAACGTCCACTGAAGGAAGCGGTCTTTTGCTTAGGGACCCCATTTTGCTCTTAGAGTTATAGTCTTTGTTTGTGTAAGGTCTGATCACCTGGGGCTCTGCCTCTTTCCTCACGTCACTTCTTAAGAAACTAAAGAGAATACGAAGCCAGAAAACCCTTTCGAGGGCGAAATCCTAAGACATTCTGTTGTCACATCTGGGCTGGCCTGGAATCCCTTGTTGGCCGCCACTGTATGATGGTTTTATTTCATGTCAGGGAAGGCTTTTCTTGGGTGCTCTAGGAGATCGTGTTGGTGTGGGAGCTTGAATCCTCTTATATAGGAAAATGATTGAGTAGGATTGAGAATTCTGGTATACAGAAAAGAGGAATTCACGGGTAGGGAGCTTTTCACGGATATACAGGGGAGTAGCGGTCCACTGACTGCCCTCAAAGACACAGTGAGTCTTTGAGTTTCTTAATATCCTCTAAGAAATGGAGAACAGTAGTCTGGTCTGTTTCTTCAGGGAGATTCTGGAAATGAAAGAGCTTTACTGTCTGTTCTGAGATGTGCTTGGTTGTACCCAGCATCTAGTTCAAGGTAAGTGGTAGACAGCCCTGACTGAAAGGATCTCATTTCTTTTCTCATTGCTGCATTTCTTTCTCTAACATAAAATCTTTAACTAATAATCACATTCAGTTCTCTCTCTTGCTGTTTCTACAGTCTATATGATATCTTTTAGCTATAACGTTAACACCCTCTCACTGGTTAAGTATTTTTCCTGGGTCAGGCATCTGTTAGTGTTTAATTTTTGGAAATGATTAAAATGATTCATGAAGATGTATCCAGCTATGACATCGATTTCTTTAGCTACTGGGTATGCAGAATATACTGAAGAGGGATATTTGTTAGCCATGTCTTCTAGATTGAAATACTGATCTGAATTTATAAAAATTTAAATGAAGAGTAGTTTTAGAATGGCCTGTTTTTTTTTTGTTTTTTTTTTTTGTGATTTTCCCAAGATACAGAGGTAAAAACTCATTTCAAACTGGCTTATAAAGTAAGTAACCATTCCCATTTCCCTGACAGCACAGTAGAGAGGGTCAGAGGGTACATAGAAGTAGAAATAGAAAATGAAATCAGAAGACATCAGTGTTGGGGAAAATATATCACCAACACTGTATCATGCTCCATATTAAAGCTTATTAATGATTTTATTGAAACTTCTAAGTGATAATTTATTTGGGTTTGCACAAATTGTATATCTACCTCCTTCTGTAAATTTTCTATTGTCATCTATAAGCCATACTTAGGAAATAGCAATGCAGGGATACCCACATGCAGTTCTATAATACAGGTTCACTTGGTATCAATAATTTACCCTAGCTGCTGTAAGGTAAGCTGAATACAGCCTGGCAATCAAAGTGGATAAAAAGTAACTGGGAAGACATGCTGAAGTTATACTGAAGAAGAGGAGATGATAGGATTCTGGACAGTCTCTACAAAAATACTAGGATTAGCCATCTGAACTAAATATATTCACATACCAACCCGGCTTCATCTCAGAAAGATAGGCCCTTATGGGGAGTTACTCATTCATTCAATTAATATTTATTGAGAGCCCACTGTTCTAGGTGGTGAGGTGAACAGCAGCAGATAAGAACTGTTAGCCTGGGAGCACATTATTAAACAATGAACTCCTTGAGCCCAAGTTGCCTCATATAGACGTTCAATCCATGTTTATTAGGAATTTTAGCAGAACCTGTTCTGCTTGATTTGAGGGCATAGTCTGCCCTAATAACCTCTTGGCTATGGAAGTAAGTGATAACCCCAAAGATCCTCTGGTCCAAAAATACTTTGAGATATCAGATTTTAGGTATTCTAGATATACTGGTTTTTTTTTCTAAGCATTTTTTTTATTGTTAGTTTCAAGTATACAGTACATTGGTTAGACATTTATATAGTTTCTTAAATGATCCCCCCTCTAGTACCCCTTTGCCTCTACACATAGCCACTACATTACTGCTGACTGCATTCCCTATGCCATACTCCCCACCCCCGTGATCATCGCTTAACTACCAATTTGTACTTTAACCCTTCACCCCTTTCTCCTAGCTCCCCAACCCCCCTTCTCTCTGGCCGTCACCAGATTGTCCTGTGTTTGTGAGTCTGTTTTCTATTCGCTTGTTCTTTTTGCTCTTTAGATTCTACATATAAATGAAGTCATATGGTATTTGTCTTTTTCTATCTGACTTATTTCAATCAGCATAATAACCTCTAGGTCCATCTATGTCATTGCAAATGGTAGGATTTCATTTTTTTATGGCTGAGTATATATGAACCATAATTTCTTTATCCAATCATCTGTCGATGGGCATTTAGGTTGCTTCCATATCTTAGCTATTGTGAATAATGCTGCCATGATCATAAGGGTGCATAGATTTTTACAAATTATTGTTTTGGTTTTCTTTGGATAAATACCCAAAAGTACAATTGCTGGGTCAAAAGGTAGATCCGTTTTTAATTTTTTCAGGAACCTCCAGATTGTTTTCCACAATGGCTGTACCAATTTATAATTCCACCAAATGTATGAGAGTTCCCTTTTCTCCAACTTCACCAACACTTGTTGTTTTTTGATTGATGATAGCCATTCTGACAAGTATCAGGTGATATCCTATTGTGGTTTTAATTGGATTTCTCTGATGATTAGTTATGTTGAGCATCTTTTCATATATCTATTCATATGTATTTCCTCTTTGGAGAAATATCTATTCAGCTCTTCTCCCCATTTTTTAATTGGTTGGTTCGTTTTTTGTTGTTGTTGTTGAGTTGTATGAGTTCTTTATTTATTTTGGATATTAACTCCTTATCAGATGTATCATAAAACAAATATCTTTTCCCATTCAGTAGGTTGTCTTTTCGTTTTGTTGTTGATTTCCTTTGCTGTGCAAAAATTTTTTAGTTTGATGTAGTCCCATTTGTTTATTTTTTTCTTTTGTTTCATTTGCCCAAGGAGCTGTATCCGAAAATAAATTGCTCATATGAGAGTTTATAGCCTATGTTTTTTTCCAGAAGTTTTATGGTTTCAGATCTTGCATTTAAGTCTTAAATCCATTTTGAGTCTATTCTTGTATCTGGTGTAAGAGGGTGGTCCAGTTTCATTTTTTTGCATATGTCTGTCTAATTTTCCCAACACTATTTATTAAAGAGACTGTCTTTACCCTATTGTATATTTTTGCCTCTTTTGTCATATATTAAATGAGGGTATAGATGTGGATTTATTTCTGGGCTCTCTATTCTGTTCCATTGATCATTGTATCTGTATTTATGCCAGGACCATGCTGTTTTGAATAGTCTTGTACTATAGTTTGATATCAGGTAATGTGATACCTCCAACTTTGTTCTTGCTCAAGATTCCTGTGGCTATTTGAGATCTTTTGTGGTTCTATATAAATTTTAGGATTATTCTAGTTCTCTGAAAAATGCCATTGGTATTTTGATAGGGATTGCATTGAATCTATAGATTGCTTGGGCCATGAGCATGGTATAGATATACTGGTTTTAATTAGAGAGAAAAGTTGGCTAGCTGTCTAGTAAAGGTGTTACAGTGTGTGGTAGTTCTTCATGTTCATCATAGTTCAGGACTTGATCTTTAGCCTTGCGTATCTGGAAGGTAGATTCCCCCCTACACCCTCATGGACCCAGAGTTAATGACACTTTAAATGTCAGCTTATAATAATTATACTCATAAAAGACTGATGAATACACTAGAATGGAACTTTGCTCTCACCGTAGGGAGATTTTATTCCAGTGCCTGAAATACTTGTGTATCAAATCCAGGCCATCCCTTGTTAGTGTTATGGTTCCTGGGAATCTGAATTCATAAGGCAACATGGAATCATTGGAGAATATGCCGTCCAAGCATTGGGAAAGTCTATTCTTGCGCCATCTCTCTGAAACTTGAATACTTTTGACTTCTAAATTCTGTGCCACTCTTCTCTAGACAATGCTGAAATAAACACTTATTCTTGTTCTTAACTCCCTCTTTTCAGGCTGATCCCCTTGCCAATCCCCTTTCCTTTTTTTTTCCCTTTAGTGGTGTTTGTTAGATTTTAGCTACACTATTAATGCCATTGGTTTTTAGGTTACTTTCAGCTATATATAAGTTACCTTATAGTATTAAATTATAGCCTCATGTATTGTTATTGTTATGCTTTCCTGAAAGGGGCATCCAAGACCCACTTTCAATTTATTTCCACCCTGGGAGACAATTATTGCCACTCACTACTTCTTAATACCAATTTTTTTGGCCCAACTAGGCAGATCTCACTTCTTTAGACTCATTTCCTCTTATTTTTTTTCCTATTTCTTTTTTTAAAATTAAATTTATTGGACTGATATTGATTAATAAAATTATACAGGTTTCAAGTGTACATTCAATAACACATCATATGTATATTGCATCACGTATTCACCACCCAAAGTTAAATTTCCTAGACTCATTTCCATATGTAAGTCCTTATTTATTTCCTTCTCATCTGGAATGCCCTCCCCAACTTACCTTTTCTTTCTATATCCTACTCATTCTTTAGGCCAACCTTAGATTCCGCCTTTGCCTAGATGTAGATGTCTTCTTATTTTGATTTTTTTTCCTTCTCAATCTTAACACTCGTTTTGACAACCAATTATATTGCTTTTTATAATTTAACCATATTACCTGGGTGCAACTAACTCCTTTCCATCTTTAAGTCAGTTTAAAAGTCACCTTCTCAGAGTCTTTCTTTAACTACCCTATCTAAAGAAGTCTTTTAATCATAGACAGCCGCTCCTCCAACATGTTTATTTTCTTTATATGGAATTTATCACAACTGCCATTATTTTGTTTGTGTGCATTCCTACTAGAATACAACTATGTAAAGTTAGGAATGGTATCCGCCATGTTCACTATTGTATCCACAGTACACAAGACAGTAGTGACAGTTACGTATAGTAAGGTATTGTAATGTTTTTCGATGGAATTATTTCCTACATAAATTGTTAAATACTTAAGTGTCAGGACCTATATTTTTCTATGGTCAAAGCCTCTGCTATGCCCACACAGTAGACCCTTCAGTTGGGAATATTAATTTTTCATGAAGGTGAAGAAGGGAAAAGGCCTGAAGTACTTTTTTGGAAAACAGATACCAAGCCTTTTCTATTATAGAGGAGGGAACAGCAGCAGTGAATGAATGCTGGAGACACATCTTACATCTTTGGTACGCCTGCTCCAGGCTCAGGTGTTCCTTCCACAGTTGTGAGCTTTTCAGAACATTCCCTTGAACTTAACCACTTAGCAATCCCAATGCAGTGTTTTCCTCCTGTGCAGTTTCTCTTTCTCCTGGCATATAGGGCACTTGAGGCCTGAAGAGTGATAAAGGGCAAACTGAAAAGTAAAGGGTGAGGAAAAATGAAACATGGATGGTTGCCAAAGTAAATTTTGTATTTTTGCTGGGGTTAATCTTGGAGTCCTAAACGTTTAACAGGAATATCATATTTTTATGGCTATACAAGTGATAGTAGGGAACTCTTAACCTACTTATTTAGATTACTAAGGAGAGAATCTATCAGATTTAGCATGGTTTTACTATTTCTTGGTAAGTACATCCACACAATGGAATACAGTGTAACTTAAAAAATAAGAAAGAGGAGAGGAAATGAACAGGTCTTCAGAATACCTTAAGTGAAAAAAGCCAAATGTTGATAGTATATATGGTATTCTACCTTTTAAATTTAGAAAGAAAGGATTATTAATACATATCTATTTACCGTACTGTATTGAAAACACTGGAAGGATACACATGAAACTACTAAAGGGGTTGCTTGTGGAAGCAAAGTAGGGGATAGCAAAGTAGATAGAGATGGGTAGGCGTGAGGCTTCTTAGTGTATAGACCTTGTTATACAGATTGAATTTTTGAGCCATATGAATGTATTACCTATTCAAAACAAAAAAATAAATTAAAAAAATTTCTTGATGTATATCACTAAGAATTTTGCTTTCTTTTATAGAATCGTTAGATTCCAAAGTCTGCTCATATACTGTTTAACTAAAATTCTGTTTCTTTTTATAGTTTAAAAAAGTCATTAGACATCAGACTTTATGAGTTGATATCTGCTAATAATGACCAATAAAGATCAATTTATAAGCCAAATTGTTTACTAATACAGACCAGGATACTTGTATGGGTTGGTCAGCTCATTCTCCTCTAGCAGGGAAATATACCCAGAGAAACAATGAAGATTAGAACACTGTTTGATTAATACAGGTTCAGTCTAAAGGTAATTGGATCATCTTAATTATGTGCTTGTGTATCTTTTTTCATAATAGGAATATACTTGCTAGGCTTTGTAATTAGATGAACCTTCCAGAGTGCCTTCTCTGATCTATGCAGGAGTATATGAATAAATTCTTAAACTCTCTACCATTTTTATTTTCTTTGGAATCCATGAATTAGGACTTGGCAAGTACTAAAATTCTAAGAACTTGATGAGTTTCACAATTTTTGTTCTCATTATAATGAATAAACTGACATTCTTATGTATAAATTTGTTCTTTATAATTTTGATTAGTGTGAATCAGTTTACTTAATGGCTTTTGAAAACCTATCAAAATCTGTGTAACAGCTTTGGTAACTACAGAAATTACTTTCCTTTATCTTTGAAAACGAGTTTAAGATCATTGTCAAATACCTGAAAATAAACTGCTGAAGTCAGATTGGGTGGGGAATATACTCTCAGAGGCCAATTTTGAACTATGGAACTAATCTTAATATTTGTCGTGTTAGTCTAAACCTATCTCAAGGCCGACCTTTGTATACCAATATTCATTTAAGCAAGATTTGCACTGGTATGTTCACCCTTGAACTTTTCCTTCATCAAAGTTGCCCTACTGTATTAGAGGCGTAAGTAAGGTTTTATTTTGCTTCTTGATTTTCTAAATATTGTGTCATTATAATCTTGTGGCTCTTCTCCAGTAATATCAGTTACTGTAATTTTTTCCATGTTTCATGCTAGTGCAGCCGAGAATAGGCTAGGTCATCCAGTTGGAATGTTCTTTTTTATCACTCTTTTCATAAATCTTAATGAGTGTGAATGTAGAAAATCTTTCCATATATCTGTCACCTGACAGTTCTTATCAAGTGATGAATGTGCAATGTGATTTCTTTAAATTTTCTGTTTTTAATGGAATAATCTTACTGTTTCCCTTCTAGTATAATGATGTTTGAAATTAAGAAGATCTGTTGCATTGGTGCAGGCTATGTTGGTGGACCCACATGTAGTGTCATAGCTCAGATGTGCCCTGAAATCAGGGTAACAGTTGTTGATGTCAATGAATCAAGAATTAATGCATGGAACTCTCCTACGCTTCCTATTTATGAGGTAAACTATATTAAGCAACTCTTTGTTTCTTAAGCTTCTTGTTTTCTTACTGTTTCTGTTAAATAATTTACTATTGATGTAAAAATTTATGACTGCAACTGATTAGAAATTAAATGAAAAAATTTAGATATACAGTGTTATGGACATTGTAATTACAATTATGTCGGGGGGCAGTGTCGGAAGCCAGCCGACCAAGTCAAACCGGGTACCTGAATGGGGGAGTGGGGACTGAGAAAAAAGAGAAGACAGACAGGGTGCAGGAGGGAGAACAGATCTCACACTGTCTCTCTGAGTTTATTTCTTATGCTTCTTTTTATACATAATCTGTTCCTTTGTGTATCCCAAGATAACATAATTAAAGTAACATCCTGAAGCTCGAGGTACAATCGACACTTCCTTTGACACTCCCTTCGACACTCCCTTTGACACTCCCTTTGTCTATACTTAATCTTCTTCCTGGAATTCCACAGAACCAGCCTTTTCCTTTTTATGCAAGCAGGCCTCCCGAGATAAACCATGCACTCTTTTGAATTTGGGGAGCTTTATCTCCCTACAGGGCAGAAAAAATTTAATTACAATTATGTCAAGTATGGCCAAGGAAAGTGGAAAGAAGTATATTAGAAGTGTATGGCCAAGGAAAGTGGAAAGAAGTGTATATTAGTGCAGTGAGGGTATAGGTACTTTTTTCTCTTCTCTGTTTTCTAATTTTGTCTGTTACTATGGTTACCATATTATAATAGTAAAATTAAAAAGTAGTATTCTATAAACATAAAACAATAGATGTTTATAGTATTCATGTAAGTGTGTTACATTTTTGGATTATTGCACTTATATCAGGTAAACCTTAGATGGATAAATGGTGTCTTTCATACTTAGTGTTTAATATCACAAATTTGTTTAATTGGAACTTCAAAATTTATGTGAATTCAGAGAATTTATAGTTGAGAAAATATGCTTTAACTATTTTATTAAGCTGGCTGGGTCCCATTTTTTATTATTTCACTGTAAAATGAGTTCCTGATATGCTCTTGAAGACCAATAGGGAAACATTTGAAAACTTCATGGTAGAATTCAATGTATCATATATATAAACGTTGGATAGAAATGCTTTGTTATTTATAAGACTGTTGTCAGCCATAGTCTTTGGGCATGATAGGCCTTTGGAAGGGAAGTCTCAACTCAGATCTATCTAGGATAAATCTTCCTGCTCTTTATAGGTTTGTGAAACAAAATCCATGAAAAAGCACCCTTAGAACAGTGGCAACTCAACATCATGGATTTACTCATGTGAATCAGATTTAAGATTTTAAAAAAATACCCTCTGTGTATGTGGTAGCTTCCGTTTGTGCTTTACCCTTTCTTCTACCAAATGACCTACCTATGATGATAGTTCTTTAAAACCCCAATATTATAGCATTTCTTTCCTTGTTATAAGTATAACATTACTACTATATTTGGTTTGGGGAATTTTTAAAAACATTTTGGAATGATAACTTGAAAAAGCATTTTATAATTCCGATATCCATAAAAGGGCTACAAGTCATCTGAAATGCTGTAAGCCATATTTGTATCCAGTCATTTAGTAACTAATTCTGCCAGCAGTGTACTCTAGTCTTAAAAAACAAAAGGCACCTATCAGAATGGCTAAAATTATTACTACTGATGATACCAAATATTGACAAGGATTTAGAATAATTGGAATTTTATACACTGCTGGTCAGAATGTAAATTGGTACAGCTGTTTTGCAATACCGTGTGACAGTATCTACTAAAGCTAAAACTATGTATAGCCCATGACACAGTAATTCCACTCCTAAACTGTATATCCAACAGAAATGCATACATATGTGTACCAAAAGACAGATATTAACAGTGCTATTCATAATAAACCCAAATGGAAAACAACCTAAATATTCATCATCAGTAGAATGGATACATAAATTATAGTTTAAATCCTGCAGTAAAACATTATGCTGCATTGAAAATCAGTGAGTCTTTCAGACTGACTGCGGGGCATGAGTTGACTCCCACCCAGAGGAGGCTCATGTGGGATTTCAAGCGGTTGCAACAGGACTCACCTATGGTGTCAGTGGCACATCATCTGAAAATAACATGCAGTAGAATGCAGTTATATTTTGATCAGAAGGGACACTCTTTGAAGATAGTGCTTTAAAACAAGTAATAAAATTTTCTGAAGAATATCCAAATAAACCACCAACTGTTAGGTGCTTATCCAAAATATTTTATCCAAATATGTATGCTGGTGATAGCATATGTTTAGATATTCTTCAGAATGGAGTCCAACATATAATATATCTTCTATCTTAACATCAATTCAGTCTCTGCTGGATGAAGCAAATCCAAACAGTCTAGCCAATAGTCAGGTAGCACAACTTTATCAGGAAAACAAACAAAAACATGAAAAAAGAGTTTTGGCTGCTGTTGAGTGAAGTTGAAATGATTAATAATAGACAACCGGTGTGTTAATCTTTTTCATCACTGTTATATATAATTTACCTCTCAGTAGAAAGGCTAACAAATATTAAGTGCCACAGGTTTTAAGGATTCTGCAGAAAAAAAAATCCTTCAGTTTAGAACCTAAAAAACTTGTGTATCTTGATTAATGTACTTTTAATTGCATGGTATGAACTAAGCTATTGCTTACATAAATTTTTCATATCTCCTGTTTGTATTTTTTTCCAACTGTGGAGTTTTAATGACAATATATACATTTTGCAAAACTGTTCTTTTTCCAAATATCAAATCTTATTTTTAAATTCTTTAGATTTTCAAATTGTAGAAATATATATGAATATTGCATATAAGCTGTTAAAATACATAACTACAAAAAATCAATAAAACTACTGCATACAAGAATATGGTTAAATTCTCACAAAAGTAGTATGTTGCCAGACACAAAATAACACCTATTGTATAATTCCATTTGTATAAAGTTCAAAAATAGACAAACTAATCTAATTCAGCATGATGGTAATTTGAAGGGTGGTAGTGGCTAGGAGAGGGCACATTGCAGGCTCTGATTTACTGTTAATATTCTAACTCTTGATGGATAGTTGTTACACAAGTGTATTCACTTGTGAAAATTGAGCTATAAATTTTTTTATACTAATGTATATGTACTTTTCTGTACTACCAAAGGGTGTCTTGTACTCAAAAAAAAAGTATACACCATCTGTAATATTTGGAATTATACATTTTTTTGGAGAAAATTAATTGGTTGGGCATATTCCCTGGCCAAGTTCTTATTTAGCCAGATTCTTATTATTGATATTACTATTTCTATTATTTGAAATCTGAAACTCTTCCTCCTAAGACTTCAGTGCTTTAAATTTAGGGTATATAGTTATATTAAGAGATTTAAGATCTAAAATGATTCATTTTCTATATCTTGTTTTTTCTCAATAACTTGCCCTTTATAAACAAAGAAACAAAAGTATTTCTAGTTGTTTCACACTTTTATTTCATACATAAATTTTTTCTTCTTTAAATTTCTCTAAATAGAATTTAAAAGATTTGAAAATCTAGCTAACACTGTGCTCATTAAAAGCAGTGTGTGAGTTCTCAAAACAAATCCTTTAATTGCATTGTCTTTACTTAATGGTTATTAGTTAACTAAATGGTTGATTATTTGGTTTCTAAAGTCTTACTTTCACCTTGCTTTTAATATGAAAATTAGTTGATGATAATATAGACAGCTGTTTCAGTTCTGCACTATTTGATGTAGCCTATAAAGGAAGTGATGGAATCTTTTTCCCCAAATCAGCTGGCTTTGCAGGTTAAAAACAGGGCGCTACTACTTTAAAATTCTAGGAGAAATCTTCTTAGCAAGTAGAATGATTTTCCTCTTAGCAAGTAAATGACTTTAGGCTTATAATTTTCATGTGTCTTTCTTAGACGTCAGTTATTCCTTAAATTTATAAATAAAAAATTTTAAAAAAGATTTCCATAAGGTTGTGTTAAAAAAAAAAACTTGGGGAAATGAACTGTATGATCCGATTATTCATTTTCAAAGATATGTTAGGCCTTTGTTCCATATTTATTCTTTATGTCGTAAATGTGACTAATCCTGCACATTTCCTTGGCCATATTAGTGATGTAAAACAGAAATAACTATAAAAGAAGAAAAATGAATGGCAGGTTTAAAAATGAAATGGCAGAGTTCATGCTGCTTTCTGAATTGCTTTATTGAGTAACATATATTGTTACTAGTTGTAATTTTATACTGACCTACCTTGGACAATGAAAAGAAATATTTTTATTTCCAGAGCAACCTTGGAGATATTTGCAGTCAACTTTCTCCTGTAAATCTGTATCCTATAATGCATTTTTTCTATAATGCATTTTTAAATATACAACCAAATAGATATGTTTTCAAAGATACTATAAAAATCTGTGGCATTGCTTTTTCATGTTAGGAAGTCCCTGTTGGTGACTAAGGTTTAACTCATGGCCACTGATAGAGAAATGATAACTAATATATAATTATAATATTTAATGTGCTCTTTCAAGTACACAGCCTCTTTGAGAATGTTTCCGCCTTCACTCTGTTCACTCTGAGACTCACTATACTAGAGAAATATTTAGAAGGAGAAATAGTAGGACATCATAGTAGATAATGTAAGATAATATAAGAAGGGGAAGGAATCTAGAATGATATCCAAGTTTCCAGTTTGGATAATGAGTGTATGACTGTGTCATTTATTGAGATCAAGAATTCAGGGTGTTGTGGAGGGTGGTGGGAGATGAAATGGTAAATTCTATTTGGTTTTATTTAGTTATAGAGGCTTTGGGATGTCCAAATAGAGGTGCTCAGGAGACTGTTGGATATATATCAAAAGTTTAGGCAAAGGATTCAGGGCTGGAGATGTAAAGTTAGGATTATGCAGGTAGTAGTTAAAAATCAGTGAAGCTGAGCTCTCCCAAGAAGAGCTTATAGAAAGAACAGAGCATGGGTCAAGGATAGAACTCTGGAAAACTCTAATGGATGGTAGGTGTAGGAGGAAATACCATAGAGAATGAAGAGTATTTCAGAGGTGAACCAAAAGCCAGAAGAGTAGTGCAAGCTCCATAAAGATATTTTAATCTCTCTCTTTCTTTCTCTTTAGTTTATTTGTTGCAGAAACCAGATTGTTTATCCTGTAGAAATTTTTGGTCTGGATTTTGCTGATTGGACTGGTCTGATTAGATTTAGACCTAGTATTTTTTTTCGTTTGTTTATTTTATTTTTGTAAGAATACTTCTTAGGTGGTGTTGCGCAGCTTAATATTCTTAATATTACTATATTTCCTGTTACATTGTATGGGAAAACAAAATTTTCATTAGAATGTTTTTCTTACAATAGAGACTTAGAAAAAAATAGATATTTATGTATGTGTAAATATTGACTGTTTCATAAGCAGTTGTATGATCTAAATTCTTGGGGAGTAAAAACCTAAATTCATAATGATAATGCAAAATTCAACATTTGTTTGAAATCACAGAAGATGTTGAATTTTCTGATAATCGTGTGGACTCAGAGTTAATTATTAACTTATGAAACAGTCAGGCACATGGTAAACAATGACACAGCATTAAAGTGAGCTACTGCTTTAATTATGGTAAGTTCAATTTTGCTTTATTTAGTAATGTTACACAGTGTACATTTACAGCCTTTAGTATATGTCTTTGATTTTTCTACAAAGGTATTATTTGAGAGCAAGTCTAGGCCTTTAAATTACAGTATAAACTTCTGCTTTTAACACATGTAATTCTATACTATTAGGTTATTTCATATGACTACTAAACAGTATGTACAACTCTTTTTCTTTTTAGCCAGGACTAAAAGAAGTGGTAGAATCTTGTCGAGGAAAAAACCTATTTTTTTCTATCAATATTGATGATGCCATTAAAGAAGCTGATCTTGTATTTATTTCTGTAAGTATATTCCTTTGTTGTGTGAGTTTTAATGTATTCTTATCTTTATAGAAGTTTTACTTTAATAGTAAATCCATTGTATTAAGCCATAGCATTGCCCAGTATAGCATTGCCCAGTAAAATTTTAGTTGTCGCTAACTTTGTCCAACACTTCACCAAATTCTTTAATGACCATTTGGTCAAATACGTCATTTCAGATTATTGAACAGATAAACTAAGAGAAAGTTCTAGTCTGAGATCTAGAATTAGGAAGTGCTGGTAATGTGCGAGCACATATGGTAATAGTATATATATTTCATCGTTTTTTGTTTCTACTGGTTGGTAGAGGTGAGGTAAAGAGAATCAGGCAGAGTTTACCTGCAAACTTACAGGCATCTCCTGTCTAGATAAATTATATTCCAAAAGTCATTTTAAATTAATTGGAGGTTGGCATGTGTTGATTAGGTTATCAGGCTTGTCCACAGACACCTTTAGGTCATCATATGGTTAAACTGTTGTACCTTTGTAATGAAAAAGAAATAGATCGAATGTTTGGTAGTAAACTCTGGTAATAAAATATTTGAACCAAGGTAACTTATTTTTTGATGTCCTAGTAACCATCTACTCAAGTATTCTGTGTGTGATGGTACAGTTATCACTGATTGGTGGCTGATATAGGGTGTTATATAATTCAAGACTTTTAGGGCCTTAAGGAATAAAGGGAAAGCCAGTGGTGTGAACTTTGACTGGGTCCTATGAGATAAAGGAAAGAAACACCATGAGGTCCATAGAGAGTAGATGCTGTTGAATTGATTATACATATTGTTAAGGACTCTAAGTCATTGATAAAGGGTTGTTTTCTAATTGGTCAGACAAAAGCAGTACTGTGAAGCTATATGAACTTTAGAAGAAAGTAGTAATGAAGCCAGTGCTAAAACTGTTATAAATTCTCTCTCTCTCTCTTCTTTTTTTTTTTTTGGCTTCCTTAATTACTTCAGAAATTGGTACAGCTTCTGTGACTCACCTACCCATCCTCTACTTAAGCTTGCGTAAGGTTAGGGTAGAGGCAGAGAAAATGAGAAAATACTTTGGAGTCATTAGATACTTGGAGTTAAGAAGTTATCTTATTCCTCTAGTTTGGATAACCAGAGCCTGGAATAGCAATAGGGAAATTTTCTGCAAAAAAAAAAAAAAAAACAACTTAAAAATACTTAAAAATAGTGTATTGTCTATGGTGGTCTGGCACGGATAACTGATTTTACATTTGCCTCTCTAGCATGAGTTGCCCTGAATCTTTCCAAGCTATCACTTTGTGTGCCTGTTAGGGTCATTATAACTCACATCTAGTTTCCATTCTCTGGGTCAGTTTCATTTTTTTTTTTATTTATTTGCTTGTATACTTTTCATTATGGAACATATCAAACTTATACAAAAGAACATGGTAGTATTATGAACCCCTATTTACTCATTCTCCATTGTCAACAGTTATCATAGCTGGTCTTGTTTCATTTACTACTTCTTTTCCTTCCCTCCCACCCTAGATTATTTTCAGGCAAATTCCAGATAGGAATAGTTTTATACAAATCAGTTTTCAGTTGTTATCTTCAGAGCTCCTTTACCAGAGGAAGCCATTTGATCATTTCCCATCACTGTCATGTTTTACCTTATCCCACTAGCCAGATGTCATTCTTCTTCTGTACTCTATTGCACCCTGACTTCTATGACTAACTCTTTTCCTAAGTTGTTCCATGCATAAAAACAACTTTTTCCTCCTGCTTTTCACACCTCAACTCAATCTTCAAGTTTTAATTTATTTGGCTTGATTCCTTTAAGTCTCCCATTAGGTTATAAGCTTGTCAAGAGAAGAGAATTGGTGCTACTTACTACTGGTTCAAAAATTATTCCTGTATAGAATTTTAGACTTTTCAAAGTACTTTTATTTTTATCAGAGTGTTATAAAACTTATGTGTTAGATTTTAGAGAGTGCGTTATCCCCATTTTTCAATGAGATCATTGAGGCAAAGGCAGCCACTGTTCCTCAAGGTTATACAATATAGCTAAGCCAAAACTGAATGCCTAGACTCTGGTCTCATGATTTATTTTTCTTTTATTTGCTAGTCTTTGTCTACATAGTATTCTGTGTCCTGAAGGTGCTAGATAATTTGTAGCTTTTATGAGCCAAGAAAGCATTTGTGAATGATATTGTAAATATTTTTTAAACTATTGATGTAAGTCTATAAAAATAGAAAGTAAAAAAGGAGTTTAAAGTTTAGTTTTAAAGACCATGATAATATACTACATACAATAGAGAGAGGAAAGAAGAGAAAATTTACATTTCATTTCAGATTATGAACTCCTTTAGGAGAAGAACTGTCTCATTCATCTTTATATACTCAGAGCTTGGCTTATAACTTGACTGCCTTGGTATCTGACCATGTATATTAGCTTTTCAGCAAACATTTATTGAATGAATTCTCCAGATGCTTCAACCTATTCCTTCTGGTGATTATATTTATAAAATGTATTATTTTCGAGGAACTAATAGAGGGTTAGAGTCAAGGGCACTGATTGTAGTTAACTTCCCATTTGACTAGCTAATTAGTGGTCTAAGGCCTATCTTGAAATCACTGAGCGTCTCACAGATAATCTGTTTTTAATCCCATATACTTTCACCAGGTGAACACTCCAACCAAAACCTATGGAATGGGTAAAGGCCGCGCAGCAGATTTAAAATATATTGAAGCTTGTGCTAGACGCATTGTGCAAAACTCACATGGGTACAAAATTGTGACTGAGAAAAGCACAGTTCCTGTGAGGGCAGCAGAAAGTATTCGTCAAATATTTGATGCAAACACGAAACCCAACTTGAATTTACAGGTATAAAAAAAGGAAACATTACAATCTAGTTTTTCATATGTAAATATTGATGCCTTAAAGTTGTCCATAATTAATTTAGCTTAAAACTTTCTTTGCATCTACGGCCATGCTACCCTGAATAAGCCCAATCCCAACTGATCTCAGAAGCTAAGCAGGGTCGGTCCTGGTTAGTACTTGGATGGGAGACCACCTAGGAAAACCAGGGATTGTAAGCTGACAAGGTCCTTGCAATCTGTGAGGTCAACCAAGGACTGCCTGGCCTAAAAACAAAACAAAACAAAACTTTCTTTGCATTGGGATTCTAGGTGCTGTCCAACCCTGAGTTCTTGGCTGAAGGAACGGCCATCAAGGATCTAAAGAACCCAGACAGAGTACTGATTGGAGGGGATGAAACCCCAGAAGGCCAGATTGCTGTGCAGGCACTGTGTGCTGTGTATGAGCACTGGGTTCCCAAAGAAAAGATCCTCACTACCAATACTTGGTCTTCAGAACTTTCCAAACTGGTTGGTACATAGCATTCAATTCTCCATTAAATTTAAAGGGAAGGACTTATTTTTCTTAAACCTGATAAATTACATAGCTACTTTCTTAATATTAATAAAAGGTATGCTTCTGAAGATAATATTCTTATCCATTATGAAATAATTATGAAATAATTTTCACTGGGGGATCAAATATCAATGTATAAAATATTCTGGAAAATTCTAAAATTTTAATAAAATAAGATAAAATTGAGGATACATTAAAATAGTGATTTTTAAAATCATTCCTTTTTATCATCTTTCGTAAACATCTTTTCTAAATAAAACATTTTTCCTTACCAATCCATCCGTTGCCTTCTCAAATTGAGCCAGCCCATCAGTAACTTTTATATCTCTCTCAGTAATATGCATCAACTGAATGAAATATAATCCAGATGTATAAAATTGCTGTTTTAGCTCATTATACTTTCTTTAAAATTTTTTAAGGCAGCAAATGCTTTTCTTGCCCAGAGAATCAGCAGCATTAACTCTATAAGTGCACTCTGTGAAGCAACAGGAGCTGATGTAGAAGAGGTGGCGACAGCCATTGGAATGGACCAGAGAATTGGAAATAAATTTCTGAAAGCCAGTGTTGGTAAAATGAAAATATTTGGTATATAAAGTGGGTTCATTTAGCTAGGTCTCTAAATTTAAGGAAGTGTTTGTTTAACTTAATGCTCTTAAAATAATTATTCTATTTTATGTATAGCCTTTGGCCTATCCTATCAGGGACTTTTTAATGAGGCAATAGTTAATTACTGACTGATTAGTAGGATAAACATAGTTCAGTGTTTTAGGAGGAATATATTAGTATTTAGTAAGAACATTTAGGAAGAATAAATTTGGGAGACCACATAATAAATAACTCAAGTAATGCCTTATCAAAGCAGGTAGTAAAAAATTCGCTATCATTTGCTTTTCTTACTAACATACTTTTGGAAATGTGGCCTTGGTGAAATACAGTTGATCTTCATTATTTGTAGATTCTGTATTTGTGAGTTAGTTTACTCACTAAAATTTATTTGTAACCCCAAAATCAATATTTGTGATGCTTTTGTGGTCATTTGCAGACATAAACAGAGCAGCAAAATATTTGAGTCACCTGATACATACATTCCCAGCTGAAGTTAAATAAGACAATGCTCTTGCCTTCTTTCAGCTTTTGTACTGCAAACATGCGCTCTTTTTGTGGTGTATGAAGTGCCACGTCTTTTGCATTTTTGTGCTTTTTGTTGGTGATTTCATTGTTTAAAATGGCCCCCACGTATATTGATGAAGTGCTGTCTAGTGTTCTGAAGTGCCAGAAAGCTGTGATATGCCTTAGGGAGAAAATATATTTGGTTAGATAAGCTTCATTTTTGCATGAGTTACAGTGCTGTTGGCTGTGAGTTCAATGTTAATGAATCAACCGTACATATTAAATAAGGTATCTTTAAACAGAGACACATAAAACAATTTTATGTATTGATTGGTTGATAAAAATGTGACCAGAAACTCATAGGAATTTAACACTGAATTTCACCTAGGGGCAGCGCTTCAGTATTTGCTAATTCAGTGTTTGTGGCAATTATGTAGAAATAACTACCAGGTATAATGAAAACTGACTGTTTTTAATATATGTTAATAAAGTTGATGTAAAAGTAAATAGAGCCTTTTACAGATTAGGCCATAGGCAGCTCTTCCTGTATTTCTAGGGCCTTATGCCATTTCCTAGTACTGCTTTCTTTGGCTTTTTCTCTTTTTGATATTTTCTTCTAGCTACCATTTAATAAAAATAGCTACTATTTACTAAAGGCATATTATGTGCCAAGTTTTGAACCAGCACTTTATATATCTCATTATTAGTCCTTATAACCTGTTATGAAGGTGCTGGTATTTCCTTTATAGAGATGACTGAGGATCAGGGAAAATTTTGCAACTTGCTCACAGTCATAAAACTAATGAATGGCAAGGTGTTTCTGATTCCAGAGTTCATGCCAACCCTCACTGTATACTGTATTGCATTAGAACGGGGTGGGCTCACAGCTCGTTTTTGCAAATAATATCTTATTGAAACATAGCCATGTCTATTTGATTATATGTTGTCTGTGATTATTTTTGAGCTACAAAGGCAGAGTTGAAGAGTTGTGCCAGAGACTGTATGACGCACAAAAATTAAAATATTTACTATCTGGCTCATAAAAGTTTGTCAGCGCTATGCTAGAGTTAGATATATGGGGCAATGATACCAGATGAATGAAGAAAAAAGTAGAAAATACAGCCATAATAAACTTTTAGCTAGAAAATTATTTGGAATTTATTTATAGAATTTATTATTTGCTTGCAAATTTCACACAATTTATAAGCCCACTGATTTTCCAATATCCGAATTTTAGTATTAAAAATCCTAGGATATGCCCTCTGCTTTAGCGTGATGGAAATTTGTCACATTACTCACTTGTGTGGTTACTAAATGAAAATATTGTCATTTTTTTCTTTTTTTAGGTTTTGGCGGGAGCTGCTTTCAAAAAGATGTTCTGAATTTGGTTTATCTCTGTGAGGCTCTGAATCTGCCTGAAGTAGCTCATTATTGGCAGCAGGTATTAATCTTTATAGTCAACAACTTATTAATTTCTAATTAAAATGTTACCCTTTGTCTGTGAAATGTTTTTGATAGGATATATTTATTCCAGGAATTCAACTATTATATTCAATTTTTTATTTTAGGTTTATTTATTGGGTTTATGTGTTTTTGTCTTCTTTGCTAATCAGTTGTGATGGACGTTTCTGATAAAGCAGTATTTCTTCTAATTTTATAATTAAATTTGTTCCCAGAGTAAAGCAAGAACTTACTCTAAATTATAATTCTCTACCTTGAATGGCATAAAATCAAAATAATGGAAGAACCTATATTATAATGACTGCCAGTGGTTTGCATGTTCTGATATTTATTTGTCTTGTCCCTTTGAGATTCACAGAGCTAAAATTAAAAAATCTTTCCAAAATTGGAAATAGGGTTGACGGTTATTGAGTACTTACTCTGTGCCAGGCACTCTTAAGTACTTTGCTTAGTGCTCATTTTAGTTCTCATTACTAACATCATCTCCCATTTGTGATGAGAAAGTTGAAACTTAGAGACGTTAAGTAATTTGTCCAAGATAGCAGCCAGTATATATACCTTTCCCAAATATTTCCCCAAGTTTATAGTTTTTCAGATGTCAGCAGTGAGTGGGAATGTAAGGAAATGCACTTTTTAAAAATGGAAATGTACACTTTTAAGTTTGTTTCACTCAGCCCATCATGATGGCTTTATCTTACTGTCCTTTGTGGGGAAAATGAAGATAAAAACTGGATTTTCCAACATTTTGGGCTTATTTCCCAAGTTCCCAGGATTTGATACACTCTCTAGAAGCTTGGAGTCTTAAAAAAAACCCCACAAAAACAGTCTCTTTCCTTATGTTTATCTGGTCACCAGTATGAAGTCTTGTTTATAAACTCTTAGGAGAATAACAGATAAGTGATCAGAGACTTTTACTTATAACATTTAGTTAAAAATTGCCAAGTGTTCATGGTATTATGCTTCTTCCAGAGGCAGCTGTTTGACTGTTCTTTGTCCACTTTCTGTTCACACTCAATTTTGATGAGGGTGGGGGTAAGCATATGAGGGAGTACTTTGGAATTTGATTGCTTATAGCCTTGCTTCCACAGAGTCTGCAGAAATTGACTAAGGAGAACACTGTTTTCTCTGTGCCTTATTTAGGCTATCCTCATATGGGGTTGAAACTTAGCTGTATTCCCTATCTTTACATTCATTCCAGCCTGATACCTGGAAAGATAAGCCATATGAAAAATAAAATTTTTAGTATAGCTTTAAGTGGGAGTAATTTATTTTTCAATCTGTAGATATTAAAGAGGTTGGTTAATCTTTGCTTCCTGTTAATTTATAAGGCTTGGATTCATACAGTAGTATACGCCATAAAACTCTGAGCAATGTATGGCACAAGCTGTACCTCTTTTAATTAATCATTGCATAATTGTACGTGTAATTTCAGGTGATAGATATAAATGACTACCAGAGAAGAAGGTTTGCTTCCCGGATTATAGACAGTCTTTTTAATACAGTGACGGATAAGAAGATAGCTATTTTGGGGTTTGCATTCAAAAAGGACACTGGTGATACGAGGTATCAGTTCTTTAAAATATTTCAACCTTGTTCAGAGTGTTAACATCTTATTCTGCTGTTTGATGGTGCATGAGTATGTGAAATACCTGTATATATATAATATAAACAATAAAAATAAAGTGAACATCTATATCCTCACAGGAAATAGAATCTTCCCTGAATATTAAACCCTAAGGTATTAGAATATATGCCATTTAAAAAGCTTAGTGATACTGATTTTTTTTCCTCAGAGAATCTTCTAGTATATATATTAGCAAATATTTGATGGATGAAGGTGCACACCTCCATATATATGATCCAAAAGTACCAAGGGAACAAATAGTTGTGGATCTTTCTCATCCAGGAGTTTCAGAGGATGACCAAGGTAAGGCTTTGAGTCTCATGAATATAGGCCCTAAAACTTGTTTGTTCTCCAAAAACCTTTCTTTATTCAGTTTTTATCATTTATATCATTGGCAGGCCCTGCTTTTGACCTCATTTCTCTAAAATTAAACTCTTAGGTATTGTTTTGTCAGCTTTAATTTAAAGTGATGAAGTTACTCTGATGATTTTTTTCTGCATATTCTAAAAAGCCCTAGAGGTTCCAAGGAGATACTTCTGGGGCAAGGTTGGGGGTGCTGCAGGCCCCACATCATTATCCTCACTCACACTTCAACCAGACCATTCCATTTCTTTCAAACTCTCAACTCCTCTGGTAATCCTAGTCTTAAAATACATAGTTTCAAACAACTCCTTTCCTATTGCCAATTTTTTGTTGCTGCTGTTGTTATAGTGTCCCGACTTGTGACCATTTCTAAGGATCCATATGAAGCATGTGATGGTGCCCATGCTGTTGTTATTTGCACTGAATGGGACATGTTTAAGGTGAGGTGACAGAAATGGTATTAAGGAAAATTTTAGAGGTTTTCTAGTGATAGTTGAGGTTGAATATGTCCTCATGTAGGTGTTCTAATTATTCTTTTGGTACTGTCTTTATAGGAATTAGATTATGAACATATTCACAAAAAAATGCTGAAGCCAGCCTTTATTTTTGATGGACGACGTGTCCTGGATGGGCTCCACAATGAACTACAAACCATTGGCTTCCAGGTAATCATGATCATGGACTGGTTTGGTTTTGTTTGTTTGGTCATTTGCTTTTTAATAATGGCTTTGCATTTTAGAATTTTAATATTTTCTCATTTAGCTGTAACATGACTTTGGGGCAACATGATTACGAGTCAGTTCTCTGGGATGTCTCTGGGATTTTTGTACCTATTCCATTCTTTCCTTAAATTTGTGATCTACAGGTCATTCAATGTTTATTTCCCTTATGCAGTATCTAGGAAGTCATCAGTTGCCTATCACATAGGGACAAAATGTGCCCTGCCTTACTTCATATCACAAAGATTAAGAAAGAAAATATTAAAAACATTTTTTTCTTTGAACCACAGATTATTCTACTGAACTGTCTGTATCACACTGACCTTCTCAGAGGCCAGGTCTTTTATTCCTATACAAATGTCCTGAAAACTGCAAAATGCAATATAGTTGTCACTTGTTGGTATAGGATCCTATGCTTTCTGAGTGCTTAGCACTGTCCTAGATATGAGAGGTCTGAAGGAAAAGTATGGGAGCTTCAGTGGTACTGGCCCTCTTCTCATTCAGAGTTTGTTAATTATGGAATGCTTAGAAAACTGACAAAAACCTGCAAATAATACATTTACCTGTTGCATCTGTTTCACAGCAGTGAGTATGGGTGTGGGTGGCTCAGGTGGAGGTCAGGGAGGATAAGGAAATGTGCCAGGAGATTGCTATCAGCTAGTTTCTTAGAGCAGTGTGATAAGTTCCCCCCATTACACTTCATTATAGAGGTTTTACATTTATGTGTTATAATTGTTAATAGCTTTCTTTCTAAAATCTTTTTTTCCCCCCTAGATTGAAACAATTGGCAAAAAGGTGTCTTCAAAGAGAATTCCATATGCTCCTTCTAGTGAAATTCCAAAATTTAGTCTTCAAGATCCACCTAACAAGAAACCCAAAGTATAGACCTTACCAATCTTTATTTATAATTTTTTTAGTACTTCAGGATAGAAAATATCCTTCTGATATTTAGTGGTAAATGAACCAAGTATTTTTAAGGAAACAAAACTATTTTTTAATAATCAGTTTACATTAGCTATATGGGAATCAGCATATCTGGTAATTATGAATCTAGAATATTTTTTACACATTTTTATAATATAGTTACCTCAGTGATTGGATGAGTGGCAAATAATCATGTTGGTTTTAATGGTGTCAATTTTTGTAAAACAAAAATTAAACTTTAAACACTTTTTACTTACAAAATATTCGTAGGCAGCACTTTAATATCACATTGTAAAGGGAAAGGTACTCTTCAATTTTTCTGATCATCAGTTTATTTACTTGTCATTAAATATGTATTCTAAACCATAAAAGGCTAACCCTGTTAACCTTTCAGAGATTGTCACTTAGAGGTTTCTGGCTTAATTGGGTAAGGTGTTTTCCAAGCCATTTCTTGTCTTTAGGAACTTAGGAGGAGGATACAATAGATAAAATGGGGCCTTTTGTGCTTTTCCTGATTTTTTTTTTTTTTATTATTTTTTTTAATGCTTATGTTTCCTATGTTTCCATGTTAGAAGTAACCTTTTTGTTTTAATGAGCTGTTTCATTGGTTTTTTTGGCCCAAAAAAGTCGTCACTACTGTTTCCAATCAGTCCAGATAAGAGTAAAGGCAATTTCTTTTTTAGCTGAAGAGAAAAATCAATAATATGGTCTATTCCATTCTTCTTCACTTTTTGTTTTCCTCACTATTATTTTTTTTAGTTCAAGAGCCAAAAATATTTGTGACGTTGACTTTGCATTCTTATTTCTGTTATTCATTGCAATTTCCCCTTTTTAAAATAAGAAAACCAATATAAGCTCATGTATAAACTTAAAGACACAGATTTTATGAGTTATATATAGCATAATTTTAAAATAAGAATTTTTGTATGTATTTCCATCTGCTTTCTTCTTATGTCTCTTGTTGACTTATATTTGATTGTTTTCTATTTTATTTTTATTGAAATATGTCAGATGCCCATTTGCTGCTTATGCTGTACTGAGAGTGTACAAACTGAGTTAAGCACATAGATACAGGCCTCATCTTTTGGGAATTAATGTAGTTCAATAAGAACAGACAAATGGAAGATGAGAACAGAGACATCTGTACAGATATCAAATACATAAATAAAATATTCTGCATCAACAATTGTGTGAGTGTATTTTTTATCATAGTGTAAGTAACTATTGAGTCATGACAGTCTGACATTAGGCAGGAAAAAAAATCACTTTTTAAAGAAAAGGGCATTATTTTATACTTTCAAAAAATGCAAGAAAGGGAAATTAGGAAATAGACCAGGTACCAGCCAGCTATAGTTCATGAGCCATATCTGGCCAGCTGCCTGTGAGCTAACAATGGTTTTTACAGTTTTCCATGATTACATTTTAAATGGTTACTTAAGTCCCCAATTTTTCCCCTTGGCCTGAAAAGCCTAAAATATTTGCTGACACTGCAAGAAAAAGTTTGCAGACCCTTGAAAGAGACAAACATCAGAGTGTTGGAACATAACATGATTCCTTACTCATAAGATCTGGAAGGATGAGTTTATTAATTAGAATTAGCTTTAGATTTCTGCTTGAAAATATTCTTGAAAATATTGCTTAATAATTTTATATTCTAGTAAAGGTATTATAATCCAAAAATGTCTTGCTAAAGCAGTTAGAATTAGGCACTGGTTTTTAGTTGCAGCATTGTTCAATGCCTACAATTGATAATTACATGTAAAATACAGTTATTGATTAAAAGTTAGGAGAATTGGTAAGTGGAGGAAAATGGGCAAAAGATGGCTCATAGAACCATGTATATTTGATGTTTGTGATGGGAAGAAATAAAACCCCAGTAACTAGAGAGGTAACACAGCAATTTGAGACTGTTGTGTGAAAAGTTGCAAGAATATGGTTAGCCTTTTCTTCCCCTACTAAGAACTTTAAAAGACCATTTTTTAAAATTGGTACACTGTTTCTATTTTTATTAGCTAGTAATTTTTTGATGGGGCCAATGTATATTGGTGAGGTTATTAGCTAATAATTAAAACTGAAAATAATACATGGAAATGGCAAAAAAAAAAAAAAATTCAAATAGCTATAGAAGGGTATATAAAAAACTAAAATCTCTCTCCAACAATGTGCTCTCCAAAATCGTGTTATTCCACTTAAGACTTTCAGCTTTATATCTTGAATTCAGTATCTACTAGCATGTGATATCTTGGCTAAGTGTCACCATCTGTAAAAGAAATAATTCATCTCTAACTAAAAAAATTGTTATAAGGATTACATGAGATGAATGTTTACACAAATATTTTAATGGCACAGTGGCTGGCTAGGAAATGATGGGCACTTCTGTTGGACACCGTTAACAATCTGGTCACACTGAACTACTGTTTCTGAAACCACTAAGAGTAATTAACAGCATTATAGAGCAGGCACTACTCTAAGCCCTTTAGGTGCATTTTCTCATCTATTCCTTACATAATTCCTTTGGGATAATTCCTTCATCTGCCCTTCAGATGAAAGGCTGAAGGCTGGAAAGATTAAGTAACTTGCTCACGGTCACAGCAGTTTGAATAGGAACTTTTCTTAAGTCAAAAGCATCCTAATTTTAGAGATATTAAGAGTGAGTGTGGCCTTAAGCAGAATGGAATAACATTCCAGTGAAAGAATCAGAAGATGGATAGGGCAGCAGCTGAGAAGGATGTGAGTACATTCCTTCATCTTCCTGGGAACTCCCAACTACTTACTAGAAAGGGGTCTGAGGTTCAACAGGAGGCTGGGAATGGGAAAGAGAGGGTAGGGTTCGGCAAGATGAGCTAGTGAAAGTAAGATCTAGCTGTCTAGGTAGCTCATTTATACTCACATTCAGGTAACCCTATTTAAAATGTTTCAAAGTAGGTGTCTGTGTACCCACTATAAGGTAAATGCTGTGAGGTGCTAAGAAAGAGGACATAGATGAATGAAAGCAATCTTGTAGAGAAGCTAAGACATACAGAAATGACTGACCAAATATGAAAATGGCCATGAAAGATAAAAACAAAATGCAGTATGCACACAAAGGTGAAGTTTACTCCAGCTGCCTATTTGCCCTAAAGCAAAGTCAGCAGATCAAGACTGGACTGACTTTCGGTTGTAAGTGTTGAATTAAACACTTGTCCCATTTTCATTATCTCCTGAAACCTTACTAAAATGGCAGCAAAAGAATAAAGCTATAAATAGACAAGAACAAAGAAAGGGAAAGCAGGCACCAGTGGATGAGCGATGCCAACCAATTTTTAGAATGTGGAAAGCAATGGGAGGCAAAGTAATAACAAAGCGCAAGGAGAAACTTCAATGCCCACGCAAGGGACTGCCTTCTAGATGTAGATAATTGGCCTCTTAGATCTCAAGAACTGGAGGCACCAGATACAAAATGTGGAGCTGAAGTGTGGGCCTGAAAACAGGGGACTTAGGTGGAAGATTACATAAGGAACATTAAGATGCACCCAAGTCTCTACACTACCTCACACAAAGAGATGCACCCAACAGTTAGATGCACCCAAGTCTCTACACTACCTCTACACTACCTCCCCATCCTTTACTCTCATAGGATAGAGGTTTATTTTCAGGAGGAATAGAATAAGAAAGTTTCAGACTTGGGGAGTGTTAGTGAGATGCCAGACAGGAACTAGATTAAAGCCTGCATACTGAACAGAGACCCACACTTCCCTATCCTACTTGCTTTTATTCATCTAGCTCTGAGAAAGCTGGCAGCCAAGTTTATAACCCTCAAGGCAAGAGACTTGAGATTTTTTTGAAAAGCTTAAATGGCTTTAGAGAAATAATTGTGACATTTGGGAGTCCATTGAAAAATCCAGCTCACCCCCTAAGCACTGTACAGCAAAGCTCTATTAGATAGCTCCCCCACCCCAGCTTCCAGTTAGTTTTAGAGTGGCTCAACAGTTAGTATGCATGTAGAGCAAGGATCACCAGACTTTTGAGGAGCCTTCAACACAAAAGGCAGAGACCAAAATCAACAAAAGAAACAGAGACAATGCTCAATGCAGAGGAACCGTAAGTTCAAAAATCTAATTATCCTCAGAGAGAAAAATGGAAGAAATTGTAGCTAAGAAACAAGTACAGGATGCTATTGGAAAAAAAAAAAGAAAAAGGAATATCAGAGAAGAGCTCTTGAAATTAAAATGTGGTGGCCAAAATTTTAGCAAAAGAATCATTGTCAAATTACATTTTTATGGAAGCCCAATGTAAAATACATTAAAATGATGTATTATTAACATAAATATGTTAAAGTTGTGTAGCCTCTGAGTCCCCAGGGGAATGAATGACATGTCCCTCTTAGCTGCAGCTCCTGCTATTTTGCTCTACTCACATTCTGAATCTTTCTTTGGGTTGTTCCCATTTTTCTGCCTATGGCCACTAGTGCTCATATTTCTTAATGTAATAGCTCTAAAGGTGTTTTCAGCTTCAAGAAAGAGAAAACTATTCAGACTGGTTTCATTAATTAAGTCATTTATTATCTCACCAAATGGGAGGTGTGTTTCAGGGTTGGCTGATTCAGTGGTTGGGAAAGGGTCAGGGACCCCTATACTAGTTTTCTTAAAAGCCATGTGCATTTATCACTTTCGTTTTCTTAAAAATGCCATTTGTGCTACAGAGACAAAAATCAGACATACTGAAATGGGCACATAAATTTTCATATGCTGAAGACCACAGATGCATTAATTTCTGCTGTCTAATCAAGAACCTCTTGCCGTGTCTGTGCATTTAAATGTGCTTCTTATTAATTCATAATTGTTTAGCAAGGTCAAAGCTCTACCTTGGCCTTTTAAAATTCAAGTCTGTCCATTCTTGTACGGTTGTGAAAGGAAGTATACCTCTACAGCACATTCACCACTCAAATGTCCAACAAGACCCTGTCATTTGGTCACATATTCTAGTCATAGTATCATGGTCACTTAATGCAACACTAAGTGACTGAATAACAAATCCAGAATAGACTATTTGTGATTTCACTTTGAAACAAACATTTCCTGCTATTCCTCTTTCAAGTTTTTGGATTAAGTTTAACTGGAGAGTATCCTGAGTTTGCAAGAGGTGTTTTAATATTTTTTAAAATTAATTTCAAGTATACATACAGTACATTAATTAGACATCTATATGGTTCATAAAACCATCCCCCCAATTGCTCCCTCCCTCCCCTGGCCCTGCACCTGGCTATCATATTAATACTAACTGCATTCCCTATGCCATGCTCCCCATCCCCATGACCAACTGTCAACTACTAATTTGTACTTCTTTAACCCTTCACCTCATTCTCCTAGCCCAACTTCCCTCCTGTCTGTCACCAAATTGTCCATTGTATTTGTGAGTCTGTTTTTGATTAGTTTCTTTTTGTTCCTTAGATTCCGTATATAAATGAAATCATAAAGTATTTATCTTTCTCTTATTTCACTCAGCATAATAACCTCTAGGTTCATCTATGTCATTGCAAATGGTAGGATTTCATTTTTTTAATAGCTGAGTAATATTCCATTAGAGCTGCAGAGAACGTAGGAATGTGTATATTTTTTAAATTCATGTTTTGGTTTTCTTTGGATAAATACCTAGAAGTGGAATTACTGGATCGAAGGTAGTTTTATTTTTACTATTCTGAGGAACCTCCAAACTGTTTGCCATAGAGGCTGTACCAGTGTGCAATCCCACTAGCAGTGTATGAGGATTCTCTTTTCTCTGCATCCACAGCCAATACTTTTTTTGACTTGATGATAGCCATTCTGACAGGCGTGAGGTGATATCTCATTGTGGTTTTAATTTGCATTTCTCTGATGGTTAGTGACCTTGAGCATCTTTTCATATGTCTGTTAGCCATCTGTATTTCCTCTTTGGAGAAGTATCTGTTCAGGTCTTCTGCCCATTTTTTAATTGTTTGTTTTTTTTTGTTGTTGAGTTGTATGAGTTCTTTATATATTTTGGATATCAACCTCTTATCAGATGTATCATTAGCGAATATCTTCTCTCAATCAGTCAGTTGTCTTTTTTGTTGATAGTTTCCTTTACTGTACAAAATCTTTTTAGTTTGATGTGGTCTCATTTATTTTTTCTTTTGTTTCCCTTGACCAGGGAGATATATCCGAAAAGAAATTACTGTTAGTAATATCAGAGAGTTTACTGCCTATGTTTTCTTCTAGAAGTTTTATGGTTTTGAGTCTTACGTTTTAATATTTTTTATAGTTTACTATTATTTAGCTGTACCAATCAGGATTTTTCTTATTACTGTGTAACCAAAAAAAACCAAACTAAAACAAAAAACAAACAAACAAACAAAACAAAGGAATAAGACTGCTGAGGCTGACAAGACTGCAAATGTCATTCATGACTCCCAATTTTACATTTGTACCAAAATAGCTTTAGTTTGTCAGTTACTTTTTTTTATATATAATTGTTACCAATCTGAAACTTTTACATTGTATTAATACAATGCCATTTTTTTTCTACATTGGGATTCCATGAAAATTGCATTTGACAAAATGATTCCTTCACTAAAATGTTCCATTACTATTCCCCTCCACTGTGCAGAATTAGAAAATACCCAGATTGTGACAAAATCAGAGTCTAATCTATTATTCCCGTGAAAGAATAGATTTTAGGGAGTGGTTGCCAGAGATTAAAGTTAATGGGGTTAATTTTACACAGTGACATTTATTAGGATGTCTAAAGAAAGTGAATCAAAGTATAAATGGTTCCCCTGAGTTAAATTGTAACTAATTTTCAAAGTTATGCATTATTTTTATGAAAAATACTAGTTCAGCCTTCTAAAGACTTCCTTTTTAAGATGTACTAGAAAGATAAGATTCAGAGTCAAAAGTTTCTCGTATTTATGAAAGAAACTCCTTCCTCAGGTCATTACTATCATATAATGGGAGAGTGCATGCAGATGTAGCAAACTATTATAAAATGAAGGTTAATATTGTTATTTTTAGGTTATATTTTCCAGTCTTGGACAACACCAAGGTCTTAGTTTCATAGAAGCCCTAAACAAGTAACTAATGTAAAACTGTTTTTGCAGGTCTAAAGTAGTGGTATCAAAGTAAAAATAAATCCATACTTAAACTCTTAAGTCTTTCTAAATTATTCCAATGATATTTTACTATTATGGAAAAAACATGTTAATCATAAGTAAACTGACCATAGTCTCAAGCTATGTCGACTGATTCATTACGGCATGTCATTTTTCAGAAATGAATTGTGTCAATGATGTACAGGTAACAGTCTTGAAAGATTGTCTAGAAGTTTTTAATGTATTTTCTTACTTTTTATTTTTCAATTAGAGTTGACATTCAATATTATTTTATATTAGTTTTAATGTATTTTTAAATTATACTGTTAACAGTAAACTCATAAAGATGTTTTATGATTACATCATATAAAGTGATTGTTTACTGGGACATAGAAGACACGGTAAAAGACAAATAAATTACTATAATTAAATATGCATGGCTTATTGACATTTTTCTTAAAATAAAAAACGAGTTCATCCACTGAAGTGTAGGTATCCTGACACTACCTGTTATCAGTTGGAATCAAATTTTAAAAATTCCTGTGATCTTGATGTCTTGTTAAATGTTAGAGGGCTTTTGTTTTTCTCTTAGCCACTAGATTTTTCAGGAAAAATTCACCTATTTAAGAAAAATGAAAATATATTAGTATCACTTTAAAGTAATTTCAGAATAATTATACTTTAGTGTTTCCGTTTAAAGAAGACTTTTGTATTTATTGGCATTTCTCTCTTCTCAAATCTCAATGGCAATAATTTTCTAACCTCACATATCCCCTATATCTTTGGCCTTTTCCCCCAACAATAATGATCAGTCGCTGTTCTTAAAAAAGTTTTTTTTTATCACTCCAGTTTCTACTCTTCTTTCTAGTAACTCAATATTATAAAGGGTGACTATTGTATCGATGGGTCTGCTTCTATACATTTATTCCACTTTAGATGTACTATCTGTTCCTTATCACTGACAAAAGTATTGCTGTTTGCACAATTAATTTCAGAGAGCAATTCTGCTACATTATTAGCCTGGATCTGATGTTTATAAAACAGAACTTGCTGCATTTGAGCAGACTCGTCTGATGGTATCTCTTTAGCTTATTCTCCTCTAAGGGAAGCAAGAGATCGTTACTTATAATGGGCTTTCTCTTGACCCCTTAAGTTGTGCCTGTGCAATAAGTTAGCTGCTTTTCAGGTCCTAGGGTTCCATTTAGTCTACCACTGTTACAGCATGGCACAATGCTTACTGGCAGAGCTCACAGCACTGTAGGCCTGATTTTATGTGGAGTCTGATAAACTTTTGTCATCTTAATATACAAGCAGAATTGTGATGATCCTCTCCGTACACAATCACCAAGAATTCCAAAGCTCATAACCTAGTCAAGGAATGAAAAGAATAATGTGTGTGGCTCCATACCTCCTCTAAATCTGATAAGAGTAGAATCAACATTATCAGACCCTAATCCATCATCTGAGTCTAATGTTCTACATACCAGAATTTGATCTTACTAGTAATTTAAAAAGCATTAAAAAGTTCATAATTCACTTCCTTATGAATTTAGAAATTTTCCGAAAAAAAACCCACAAAAACTCAAATGATATCACTGTACTTTAAATACTCTGAAAGCTGATTTTTTTTCCCTATCTTTTATATATAGTTTTAGCTTGCCAGTGACCACTTGAAGAATGAATCACTTGTAGTTACTGGTTTCCAAAGTCCCCACATCCTGTCAGTGTTGAATCAAATTCTTAGGTTTTGTAACTTGGATAAGCTGTTGTTAATACATTAAAATGTCTTCAATTTCTTTATAAGAACACAATGAATATTATCAATACTTGCACATAAATTTTTATAAATAGAATTTATGCCTAATTTAAACATATCTTTGATTTAGACTCCAATGTCATTTAAAAGATCATTAATAGTAATATAGTTTATTACAAAATCAGAGTCTAATATATTACTGTTATTACTAAATATATTACTATTATTTATTATTATTATATTACTATCCAAAAAATAACTAGCTGTATAGTCTTCAAAATTTTTAATTGTTAAGTTTAACTGACAGGGAAAACATCATAAACATTTTTTTAGATTAAATTCAATCTTTAGATATGTTCTCATTGACCTTTTGATGGCTATTACTACGTGACTTTTTATTTCTTGGAAAAGGCTTTTATTTTCATAAGTCAGCTCAAACTATTGACCAAATCAAGAGCTAAAATCACAAAGGTGTAAAAAGGCATTATAGCTAGTAAAAACACTAAAAATTTCTATAGGGAAAATAATCTTAAGCATTTTTTTCTGTTGCTTCTGGGAGGAAAAACACAAATATACTGGTGCAAGCAGCAGTGCTATTGAATAGATAGTTTTCAAGGTTTTAACTGATCTGAAATTGGGAGTTTGGAGAGACAGGTGATATCACTGTCAAATGAATATACATTTTTCCAGAAAACCATGTTATATGCCTGACTGATCTTTGTCATTTCTGAATAACCTATTATTGAAATCCACATATAGAGTAAACCGTTTACTTCTGCTTTCATCATAGTAACTGAGCTATTAAAGGAAGGGGCGGGGGAAGGATTTTTTCTTTAAGGAACAAAGCAGGTTTAAGAGAAAATTTTTCCTTAATATGACCCTTATGGAGCAAATCTCCTAAGGATGTTCCAGAAAAACACTTTTTACCCCACAAAAGACAACCACAGCTATTATAATTGCAATGTGGAAAGTTATGGTCTACATAAAACCATTCCTTGTGGTCTAACTTACCTGCTTTGTATGAAGAACGCACCAGAGGGCCACTTGCAGTATAATGAAATCCAAGTTCGTTTCCTACTTTTTCCCAGTATTTGAATTTTTCAGGAGTAATGTATTCTTCAACCTAGATTTAAAGAATTCTGATAGATTCTAGAATTTTCACAAACCATTTTGATTCTATAGAAAATCTATACCCATGCATTCAGTGTGGCTTTCATGTTATAATTTAACCAAGCGTCCCCAGGTTTCTTACTCTCCCTCCTCACTGGTTACCCACTGTCCCCCACCCCACTTAGAGGGAATATGAGAGAAAAGAGAAAACTTTAACTTTGTATTATATTAACTACTCCAAAGGATGGAGAAAGAAAATGAGATTATAGATTATATATCTGTATCATTCCTTTATTTGGCTAATAGGTATAATAAAAAATTAGTCCCTTCTATAAGATTCTTGAGGACAAGACGGTGTCTTATTCATCTTGTATCTTCTGCTTAGCATTGTGTCTGGCACATAGTCACTACTCAAGAAAACTTTCTTGAATGAATAAATGTCTGATATAAAAATAGTAAGCCTGACTTTTCTTATCTCTGGCTCTTATATAACTCTAAAACAAATCGCAAGATTACCAAGTGAGTATAAATGCAATTTCCCAATTTTTAAAAAAACTTTTAAATTTTAAAATTAAGAAGCTGCTGGCTTTTTAGTATAATGTTCCATGTACATTCTCAAGTTAAAAAAAATTTTTTTGTAGGTTCACTTAGGTTATATAATTTTGGGGACAGCAAATAAGTGACAGTGTAGCTGCTTTATGCAGATAAAATGGAAACTGAAATTTGAGAATATACATGGAACATTATATTTTTGCCGACAGCTTCTTAATTTTACCTATGTATAATAAAGATTTAATTCAAATTACCAATAAACATTTGCCAATTCAAGGTTAGCTGTACCTTAAGGTGGCGCTTTGTTGGCTGCATATATTGTCCTAAAGTCAAACAGTCTACATTTGCCTCACGAAGTGCTAGAGAAAACAAGCACACATTAGCAGATGTTTTTATGATGCTAAAATTCTGGATTTAAGCTTAATTTTCCAGAACATAATTTTACTTCAGAACAGTGTGTCCTTTATCCTGGTCTATAATCCTGGTATTAGAAAATAAGACTGTATCTATCCATTCAAAGGTATTTATGTGCCAGGAAATATGGTAAAAATTAAAAACAGAGGAATAATTAAGACAGTCATGTGGGGCTGATATATGGACAAATGACTCTTAATTATAGACATAACATGCTGTATTAGGCTTTTGATAAATGTACAAGAGATGCTCTGGGGGATATGAGTTGATCTCTGACATCAGAATCTTTCTAGTAAAACTGTATGCATTGTGGTAAAGAGTAGCTTTTAATTACTATTTGAACTTATTACTTTTTGATCCAATAATCGCAAGAAGGCTAAGGACCCTCAGGTAAATAAAAGCTTTTATATTTTAAAACATAAAAAGCCCAAAACAAATAGGCTATAGGAGTTCAGCAAAGTCCAAAGCATATCATGTTATGTGACAATGCTACAAGTAAGCTCTTCCTCAAAGGTTTGGATTTATCATCTTTGAAATGTCAGTGTCAGCCAGAGCTCCTAGTACTGGATGGCTCTCAAAAATTGTCCAATGACTGAATAATACAAGTAGACAAAATCATATTCTTACTTGATAAAAGGGTGGAGAATAAAACAGGAAATTGTATATCCTGAACTTCCTGTACTCCATTCCATAAAGTTCTAAGAAAATACACTTCCTTTCCTTTGTATGCTGCTGTTTATAACCATATACTGTTTGTTTTTACTAGCACTTTCGCTGAGATTATGAAGGCATAACAGGGTCTTCTAAGTGGGGTTCCTGCTATTACGCAAATTAAACGGGAGTCTCCATTTTTCAATATCTTTACCTTTCATTGTTGCATATACTTGCTTGTCGTTCTCGCCTAAACCCAACATTATAGATGTTTTAGAAATAATATCAGGCCGAATCTCCTTGGCGTGTTTCAGCACCTGTAGAGACTGGTCAAAACTGGCCCGAGGATCACGAACTTTCCTTGAAAACAGCAGGGCTGTTGTCAGCAAGAATAACAAGCTCAACTAAGTACATAGTTATGCAAGCAACTTGAAACACCAGAAATTACATTCTGGACATTTTATCATATGATATAGTTCGATGGTAGAATTAGTGAACAAATGTCTGTTATTTTAGGGTAGAAAATAAGGCTTCATTGGGCCACCAAGCTCTGTTGACTTTCAAGTTTGGGCACCCGGCCACTGGTGGTGGTATCATGAGATATGACAGGGGCAGAGAAAATGAAAATGGAATTCAATTTATGAATTACTTATTAAGAAACCAGAATTTTAAAGGTCAAAATGAGTAATTATAAGAGGTATTGAAGGGAGAACAAGAGTAGAAGGAAATCTTGATGCTGAACAAAAAAAACTTTAACCTGCACCCACATTTCAAAGATCTGAAACTTTTATGTTCATTTCTTTTCTAAAGACTGAGCTGCCCTCTGCTGGTGAGTATGCAACATTGACATCTCTTGGTTAAAAAATACATGATTCTGGAATTTTCACTGGAAAGGATAATGTTTCTTAAGCAAAACCAGGGATATTGGCACCACTCACTGGTGGTGGTATCATGAGCTATAACAGAGCTGAAACAGGCTGTGTGCCAGACTTCAACAGGGGCCAAACCATCATGGCTTAAATGGGGACAGGGCCCAAAGGACAGAAAGTTGCTGTTAAACCAGCATTCATTTGAATTCAAATGCACCTTCATTTTTTGTAATCCATTTGTTGTTGTGGCTGTTATTTTTAATGAGACCGGTTCACAGAGAAGAGAGGAAACAAGTTTATGAATTTAAAAATAACCACAAAACTGATAATACAGAATATAATTACTTTCTGAAAGTATTTCTCCACTGAATTTGTTATGCTTCCTATTGTTTATGATTTAGTGGAAATAGTTATTGTTTATCATACTTCTTTCAAGTTCTCCAACAAAGAACAATGTAGAGAAGCTAATAAAATCACTACCAAATTACTAAAAAAAAGTTTTTACTTTTAAAAAGAGACTTAAAATACATCTGAATGATACCAGTTTTTCCTCAGTATTATTTATTGCATGTATTAGTGCCAATAGCATTTTAAAGGTCTGTTTTTTAGAATTATAAGCAAAGCAACTGTTTGTGTAATTTTTTTTGAAAACTAGTCTTTGAAAAAATAATTGGCACTTGTAATACACTATTAAAAAGAAAAAAAGATGCTCATTATGTGTGTAACAAAACACATACATATATAAATACATAAGTATATATACACTTAGATGTTAGTAATTGATTTTACTGGGTAGAAATATCATGGGTGATATTTACAGTCATTTTGTTG